AAATATAGAAAAAAGGTAGAAAGAGTAAAAACCCCAATTGACTCAAGAGTAAAACCCCCAATTTATTATGTCTTGAGTACTAAATAACATTTTCTAGATTTGCCACTTTAAATGATGATATTAGTTTGAAACAAATATGTGATTCTAATGATGGTGATAAACATGATGATTATGAATGTGTTGGTGATGATGTTTATGATGATGACATGATGATGTTGTTGTTGGTATAATGATGTTGATAAGTATTTATCATAGTTATTCACATTTAAGAAACTAATCTGTTAAAGAGTTTATTATAAGAAAAACTATGTTGGATATATATCTTTTTTTTGCTGATAAATTATATAATATTTTGTTCCAAACATTTACAAAATTTACAATCATTATCTTTAATTGTTATGGAAATATATAATTTTATTTTACACAAAAAAAACTGACGCAGTCAGAAAACCTTAGGAAAAGCAAGCGCTAAACCTAGATTGAAACACAAGTTCACAAGCGATGAACTTGAAAGATAAAACTCTGGAATCCACCAGAAACTCTAGAATCCATTAGAAAAGAGAAAGATTTATGCTTCTTAAGAAAGTAATTATGAGATGTCTCTTACAAAGAACCTAGGACCAATAAATCCCAACTAGAAAAAAGGAAAGAAGATTGAAATAAAGAAATTAAGAAAAGTAAAAGTCTATGAAAAAAAAATAAAACAATAGAAATTAAGATAATAAAGAAAAAAGGAAATAATGTAATCTAGAATCCTAAATCTTCTAGAATCGTCTAGAAGTTTCCTACCTCAGTCTCCTCCACATCTGAAGAACTCGACCTCGAGTTATCTTCTGGATAAAGAATCTCATCTGCTTGATACTCATGAATGTCAGCCACATTAATGGTATTGGATATGTTCATAGACTCTGGGAGAGCCACCACATAAGCATTATCATTGATCTTCCGTAACACCTTAAATGGACCATACTTTCGAGGTTTAAGCTTGTTGTACGTACCCACTGGGAACCTCTCCTTGCGAAGGAAAACCATGACATCATCTCCTTCTTTGAACACTTTGATTCTCCTATGCTTGTCAGCAGCGATCTTATTCTTTAGCCTGGTAGCTTCTAACTTAGCTTTGACGGTCTCTTTAATAGATAAAATTTCCTCGGCCATATTCTTAGCTGCTACACTAACCCCATGCGCTCTAGGCAACTTCACCAAATCAACCACATGCTTAGGGACAGAAGTATATACTAGGGAAAAAGGTGATTTCCCTGTTGCCGAATGTATAGCATTGTTGTAAGCGAATTCGACTTGAGGCAGAGCTAAATCCCACTGTTTTGGCTTGTCTCCACAAACACTCCGAATCATATTCCCCAAAGTTCTGTTGGTTACTTCAGTTTGTCCATTAGTTTGTGGATGAGCTGTAGAACTTCTGTTTAAAACTGTCCCGAACATTTTCCAAAGAGTAATCCAGAAATGACTGAGAAACTTTGTATCCCTATCTGAAGTAATCGATTTAGGAACTCCATGAAGACGCACGATCTCTCTGAAAAATAGTTTAGCTATATTTGACGCATCAGCGGTCTTCTTGCAAGCAATAAAATGAGTCATTTTAGAGAACCTGTCAACTACTACGAACACAGAATCCACACCTCGTTGCGTACGAGGCAATCCCAACACAAAATCCATAGCCAAATCTTGCCAAATATCATCAGGAATAGGTAGAGGCATATAAAGACCAGTATTTTGAGACTGACCTTTAGAAACCTGACAAATATAACACCTTTTGACAATAGTCCCCGCGTCTCTTCTTAGATGCGGCCAGTAATACCTTTCCTCCAAGCTAGCAATGGTCTTGTCTCTACCCAAATGACCGCTAAGACCACCACCATGAAGATCCCGGATTAATTTCTCTCTTAAAGACGAGCAAGGAATGCATAACCGATC